TGGAGCCCAGCTGGCCTTTAACTCACAGAGATCTGCCTGTTTCTGCCTCCCCAGTGCTGGGATTAAAGGTGTGTGCCACCATGGGCCAGCTTTCCATGGTGATCTTTCAGTGGGTCCCCAAGATCTGAGCACAACATGAGGGACTGTATTAAAGGGCTGCAGGATTAGCAAGGTTGAGAATCATTGTGTTAAATTGTTTGCTTTACTCCTTCCTGCAACTGCCAACCAGGATGATTTTTTTTAATTCTTTGCCTTTAAAATTTCCTTGTACCTGAGTTTGAGGCCAGTCTGTGAAGGGACCAGCTCCTCATTTCGGCAGCCATAACAGCTTGTCTGACCTTGTCTTAGTCACTAAGGTCAGATGCCCGCCCCTGTCGGCAGCCATAACAGCTGAACACATGCTTGTTTGACCTTGTCCTAGTCACTAGAAAGTCAGATCCCTGCCTAACCAATCAGAAGTTAGCTGGTGGTGCTATGCTTTACGGCTCTGGGTGTGCTTTACGGACAAGTGCACAGCAATGACGTAGAGAGCATAGCAACCACCCTGGGAGGGCCTATGGGCCATAACAACCAGTTGGCCAATCAACACAGGGCAAGCCTTCCAAGCCTGGAGGCACACCAATCCTGAGCCTGTGCGTACCCCTAGACATTCCCCTTACGCTGCCCTACAAGATCTCTCTGCAGCCCCTTCGAGCTGTCTTTGCTAGCCATCGGCCATAGTGGGTGGGTGAAAGACCCGAGCTAACATGGGGCTAGCTCGTTAAACAACAATAAAGCCTCATGCAGTTTGCAGCAAGCTTTCGAATACGCTTGGTGATTGGGGTGACCATGGTCCTGGGCCTAGACCCTGGAAGCCTGAGCTTTCCTGGGGTCTAACAGTCTGGTCTACAGAGGAAGTTTCAAACAGCTAGGGCTACACAGAGAAACTGTCTAAAAACAAACAAACAAACAAACAAACAAAACAACAGAACAAAAACAACAAAAAAGCTTCATATAAATATATTTGAGGCTGCTCTGTGAAAATTTCTTTCCAAGCAATATCTGGGCAGCTTAATACAGACTCTGTTAGGACTTCAGTATTGCTGAGTGATCTTTGAGCTGCTACCCTAAAACACTGGTAAAGCAGATTGTTGGTATGTACTATCACCTTCACTGGTTTAGCCTTTAATCTGAACAGAGAGGATCTGTAATTTATGAGAGCAGACATCATAGAGTAAGCTGGGTTTTTTAGAATGATTTATTTATTTTTATTTTATGTGCATTGGTTTTGCTTGAATATATGTCTGTGTGAGGGTGTGGGATCCCTTAAAACTGGAGTTACAGACAGTTGTGGGCTGACATGTGGATGCTGGGAATGAAGTCTGGTCCTCCAGGATGAACAGCTGATGCTCCTACCATTAAGCCATCTCTCCAGCCTGAGCTGTCTGCTGAACCTGGGATCTTAGGACCTGAAAGAATGGGGGGGACTACAGTCTACTGCTGTAGACAACCTTACTTTAGTTTCAGTGTACTTATACATGAATATAACAAAGAAAGCAATAATCCAAAGAAGGTTGCTTGGGTTAAGAAAAACAGGATTAGAAAAAGCATGTAAATTGTTGGGAGCTATAAGTTAAGGGGCCATCCAGAGCAGTGGAAAATTACAGGCTCTTGAAGGACTTGCCACCTGGCAACTGCCACCACTGGCTGTACTATTTGGGGGAGAGATAAGCAGCTCTGAGAACAAGAAACATAGGATGTTCTCAGGCAACAGACATTCTTTAGATAGCCGCTTGCACAAAACACCAGATGTACTAACTACAATGAGGCCCTCCCTGCTCCCTTCTCCCTCCTCCCTCCTCACCTCCTCCTCCATGTCACTGCATTCGGTGCCCGCGGCCGGTCCCGGGAGCCCCACTGCCAGCGGCCGCTACATGCTTGCTCCCCTCTCCCTCCTCCCTCTCTCCTCACTCCCTCCTTGCCACACTCCTATATAAGCCTTACTGCTCCTTCAATAAATGAGACCTTGACAAAACTGATGCTTGCTTGGTCTCCTTCTTTTCTCCTGTCCATGATTCTTTTCAGGCAGTACCTCTTCAGACCCTTAATAGCTGGACCTGCTGGACAGGTCAGTGAATAAACATCAGTAAACATATACTGAATATTAACAGAGCAGCCTTTTCCCAGAACTTTCTCGGAACAGACCAATTTAATCACAATTGCCTGCTACATACTATAGATTATATCTGGGAAAGTATTTAAGCAAGGCAGAAGGCCATATCCAGACTCAGGGTACATTGACCAGATTGGGTTCTATAGTTATATACTGACTTCCAACAAGAATAAAGATGTCTTACAAATTGAATGTAAATGTTTAATACAGGAGGCACAAAATCACATCCAAGAACAATCCAGGGCTATCCAGAGAACAACATGAATCCAAGGAACAAAATGAACTTGAGGTAAAAGGACCTCTTCCTTTTTTATGGCACCTCTCTCACAGTTCCCCAAGGCATTGTTGACCATGTGTCATTCATTTGGCCATGTTCTGATGCCTCCCAAGTCTGTTGTCCTCAGAAATGAGGATCTATATGATCCTAGGTACAAAGGATGCTTTTTTATGCCTATCTTTGGATATGGTCAACCAACCCATATTTGCTTTTGAATGTACAGACCCAGAGGGTGGATGTCCTTAGTCAACTAACGTGGACTTGTTTGCTAGAAGTGTTTAAAAATTCAGCAGCATTGTTTGAAGAAGCTTTGAGTGCATATCTATTGGGATTTAGATAGAGTATCCAAAAAGTATCCAGCTGCAGTATGTAGATGACCTCCTCATAGCTTCTACCACTCAGGAGGAATGTAGACAGGCAACAGAATGGATATTAGAGACCCTCCAAACCCTGGGATACAGGAGACTTGGTTTGTAAAATGATAATCCCTGCCCAGAGCTCAGAACCTATCTGTAAGGGACTCTACCCAGTCATTGTCACCACCCCAACCACTGTCAAAGTAGCTGGTCATCCCTTGGGTGCATCACTCCCAACTGAAGGAAGCCATGGGGAACAATCACTTATGGACCACCACTAGAACCTCTGATATCTAAAGATAAGGTTGATCTGAGTCTCTTAAATGTTGGTGTCATATTTATTTCCTTCCTCCTCCCTGGGAAATGGGCCCTATTTAGGAACTGAGATAAAAAGAAAATGGAAAGATTCTCTTTAACCTGACTTTGGATGGCCAACACACTCTCTGGGTGGACCTTTGTACCCTCATGACCCTGCATCCTAGGGGGCTAGGGTGAAAAGGTGGGTCTAAGGATGGGTTGTAGCTCTATTGCTCTGGAGAGGGAACTTCAAGACCTCCAGTTCTATGCAAGTTCTGCAATGGTCTATTCTCCTGTCACAGAAATAGTAATTATCACTGTGCTTCCTAGGATTGTGAAACAGAACACTCTTGGGGACACAAATACCCCTATATCCAGATAGAAAGGGAAACCCCCCTTCAATCTTTAATACTGGAAGAAGTAGCTCCAGGATCATTAATGTAAAGGCCTGGATTTGGTTTGTTACCCACTATTGGGTCACAGGGAGAACATGGGCAATTTGGCTCTATGCCACTGGAAAGAACCCAGGGAATTCATTTACTATTCAGAAAAAGTACACACCCAAGAGGGTAACTCCCATTGGGCCCAATTCTGGTATGTTCCTCCTAATCCCAATCCTAAGGGAGGATCCAAGCTCTACTTCCCATGCTTGCCTTGACTACCAGAGAGCCTAGACTCACACCCCTGTTCCAGTCAAAATCCTTCCTTCCATGTTAGACATGTAATGAAAGGTCTATTGCTTTTAAAACACTTCTGGCCCAGAATTAGGGCAAGACTTCTGGCTATGTCTGGATCCACGATTACCTTTCTATATAGCAATAGGGCCGAATACAAACACTCTCTCTAGTAGAGGACTCTACCACTTGTGAACAGAAACAGCCTAAAATTACTTTAGTATATCTGCAAGAAGATGCCTATATTATTTCTTCACATTATAATCTTATTTCCTCATCTTATAATAAGGTTGTCTTCAAACTCAGAGATCCACCAGACTATGGCTTCCTGAGTACTGGGATTAAAGACATTCACCACTATACCCAGTTATAAACTTTAATTCCTTTTCACAAATTGGAACTCAGATGGGTGATATCTTGCCCTGAGGTCACTATTCCCTTTATTCAATTTCTTATTCTGTTTATCTTCTTGAACCCAGGATTTAGCTCTATTCCACTTCCTGGTGCCTCTTTTCTCAATTTTTTTTACCCTCTGTACATTTATTTTATTTCTTCAGCTTGGGTCTTTTCATTATAAATCTTCAAAGTTAACACTAATAACCACATGACAGAGTCTATACTAGGCTGTTTGAGATTTCTTCTGCCAATGGAATCAATCCAAAACTCTTCACTTTAGCCTCAGGCAGACTTTTCAGACAAGGGAAAAGGCAGCCACATTCTTCACCACAGTATCACAAGAACAATCTCTAGACAACACACTAAATTTCTTCTTCTCTGAAACCTTTTGAGAAAGCCCCCCACAGTTCAAATAACTCTTACATTATTTCAGAGAAAAGACAAGTATTTAATGTTTCTTAAACTGGCTAATAAGTCTTGTATCTTTAGGGTGTATTTTTAATCCCACTGAATGAAAACCACTATCCAAGTCTTATGACTCCCTCAATTCCCTGAAGTTTACCTGAATTTTTGTTCATAAGAAGAGACAAAGGGAAACAACAGCAGCGATCTGGTGAAGACGATAGAGCCTGCTGATAGCCAGGGGTTCCCTATATGTTTGGAGACTTTCATGGAACTCTCTTTGAATACCAGGCAAGCCTTGAACTCAGAGATCTGCCTGCTTCTGCCCTCCAAGTGCTGGGATTAAAGAAAAGTTCTCCTCTTTCCTTTCCAGGGAGAGCCGGTCCTGCCTCTTGAGCATGGACTACCCGGACTGCGATTCCACCTGGGAGGACGAGCGCGAGGAAGACCACGAGGTCGGCCAGTCAGACCATAAGGGCGACAAGGATGGCGACGTGAAGGAGACACGGCCAGGCGTGTTCCAGTCCAGGATGACCCGGTACCGAAACTGGCAAGCTATGCAGGACATGCGAAGGTATCGGTACCACTACCCGGATTTGGCATATCAAGACTGCAATGGCGACATATCTAACCCGAGCTTCTACAAAAATGAGATCTGCTTCCAGCCAAACGTTCTTTTCATTGAGGAAATTCTTCACAACTGGAAAGACAACTATGACCTCCTTGAAGAGAATCACTCCTATATCCAGTGGCTGTTTCCTCTGTGGGAACCAGGAGTGAACCGGCATGCCAAGCCCCTCACACTCAAGGAGGTTGAGGCATTTAAAAGCTCCGAGGAGGTCAAAGAGCATCTTGTCCGGGCCTATGATGAATTCATGCTGGGCTTTTATGGGATCCAACTTGAGGACCGGGACACAGGTGCCGTCTGCCGTGCACAGAACTTCCAGCCACGCTTCCACAACCTCAACAGTCACAGGCACAACAGCCTGCGTATTACACATTCTCAATTCACTGGGAGAGCTGGGCTTAGAGCACTACCAGGCACCGCTGGTCCGCTTCTTTCTGGAGGAGACACTGGTACAGCACCAATTGCCCAGCGTGTGTCAGAGTGTCCTGGACTACTTCATGTTCGCTGTGCGTTGCAGACACCAGCGCCGGGAGCTTGTGTACTTTGCATGGGAGCACTTTAGACCTCACTGCCTGTTTGTCTGGGGGTTCCGTGACAAGCTGCGGAGGCTCAGGCCTCATGGTATACCCCGGCCACTGATGGTACTAGGGCAGGCAGATAAGGATGAGGGCTCCAGGAAGCCCTTCCAGGGTTGGACCTTTGGATCTGGAAGGGACCTGAGTGGGGACAGTGGAACAGCTGAGAATCCCTCATGGCTGAGCACAAAGCCCCAGGATTCTGGAACTCTGGATGAGGACCAGGACCTGAGGAAGAGGCTGAGTCACTGAGCCCAAAAAGAGAGCAAGAAGAGGAAGTTGGAGGGGAACAGGCAGGAGCAGGTCCCAGGGGAGTCAGATGTAGAAAGAACTGCCCTCAACCTTGAGGAGTGTGCCCTCAGCTCTGTCAGCCAGAAACCCAGGGAGGCTGAACAGCCCTGCCCTGTTACCCATGGGGCCAGAGTGGCTGATGAGGTAAGAAAACGGAGGAAAACGATGGAGGAGAGGGCTGAGGGTGATGGAGTAGCCAGTAACCATCACACTGACATGCAGGCCCATGCCCCGCCTCCTACGCCTTCAGAGGGCCCTGAGGCCCAAAAGGATGAGAATGGGCCAGAGGACCCAGAAAGCCAGGTGGGGCCAGAGCAAGGTGCCCCTGGGA